GCTGCTGCTGCTGCTGCTGCTGCTGCTGCTGCTGCTGCTGCTGCTGCGGAGTGGAGCCAGCTGGAGCCTCCTGTCCCCGCCCCCTCGGTCCTCCGGCCCCGCCCCGGACCGAGGCTGAGCGCAAGCAGCTCTGGGGAGGGGGTGGGGGTGGTCCTGCTAGCTCTGCCACGCGCTCCCGGCTGTTGAGGCTGCCGCGCTGCCTGCTGCCGCCTCCCGAGACTGGCAGCTGTGCACCCGCTCCTGCGGCGGTGGCGAAGGGGGTGGGGGGGGCACAGTCTGTGTGGCTACCCCCCTATCCTGCCTTCGAGCAAGTCCCGACTCTGCCCCCTCCCCGACAGTAGCACCCAGTCTGGGCCGGGGCCGAACGGAGCCGGACTGCCCAGGGAGCGGGTGCTGCGCTGCGCTGCGCTGCGCTGGGAAGTCTGGCTGGCTGGAGGTGCCCGGTCAGCGAGCCCACGCCCAAAGCAGGATTCCACCCGGGCATTCCCCCAAACGCATTCCTGGAACCGACGTGCCCCTCAGTGGGTACGACTGCCAAGTCAGCCATGCCAGCCGAGAAGACACTCGGGCCAGGTTGGCTTGGCAGGCTCTGCAAGCCCCCAGAAAATGCCACAGGCGCAGGGGCGCAATCTGTCTTGCTCTATTGACTGTAAAGTCTTTAGAAATAAACGGGGTGGGGGGGTACTTGAGATTTGACAGCTCTAATGAGCTCCAGGAAGAATTATGTAAACATTATTAAGTGTAATAAACACTTGTCGTTGGCATCAGGCAATCTCATGGAGAAGGCTTGGTAAAAGCCAGGGCTGAGGTTGTATATTCATAATGTCTTTTTTAACTTTCTGCAGCCGCTTTAATAGGCCTTTGCCTTTGCTGTTGCCTGGACGGAAAATCATTAGCCTTGTAATAGATGAGCCGGTTCAAGAGGAGAGCCACTGGGATGCCGTTCCCTTTCATTCATAAATGCAATATATTAGAGGAAGAGGGTGCGATCCGCTGCCAACTTGGCCATTTTAATTGCGAAACTGTCTATGCCCAACTTCTTGTTTCTACTTCCGGAGACAGCATCTGGCAATAATAGTTTGTGAAGGCGCAAATAAACAAATAAAAGAAAGACTCAATCATTCACTCAGCACCACTGTATTTCTACTTTGCCTTTTTTTTTTTTTAAACTATGCCTTTCAGGAAGCCTGGATGGATTGACTGGAGACCAGCAATCGCTTTTCTCTGAACAAACCAAATACACGGTTATTAAAGCAGTGCATACTGTTTTATGGTAAAGATGAAGCCCTTCAGAGGCTACAACCTAACAAGTTCTCCCTACTTTTTAACCATCTCCAGATTTTTTAATTAGACAGTTTTCCTAGGGGGTGTAAAGGCAAGAATGTTAAGGAAAGAGAAAAACTTAAGGCCTTTTCACAGTTGATTTCCACATGTTCTTAACCCTTATCACAAAAGGAAAGTTCATAGGATCTTGGATCTAATGCTGGTTAGTCCTACCCACTGACGGGCAGGTGGATTCCAGGAATGCGTTTGGGCAGGGGTGCCCTGGTGAGATCTTGTTTTGGGCATGGGCTCACTGACTGGGCACCTCCAGCCAGCCAGACTTCCAGGGCAGCACAGCGCAGCACCCGCTTCCTGGGCAGCCTGGCGTAGACAGGGTGCTACTGTTCCTTAGAAGTCTGTAGTCCAATCCCAGTATTTTACACATGAGGAAATCGAGGCTCAGAATGGAGAAAAGATAGGAAGTGTCAGAGCTGAGACAGAAAGCTAGTTGTTCAACTATGGATACAGTGCTCTTTCCACTAGGCCATGCAGTCCATCTTGGAGAGCCCCAAAAGATTATGCATTGTTTTTTAGAATCTGGTATCATCAACTTTCCCCTCCCCCCCACACACACACCAAGTAGCAAAATCATGAAGACTCCTCAGAGTGACATATAAAGTCATCCAGACCAAGGTTTTCAAACATTGTGTTGTGGGCCACTTCTGAGTGCAGCCTGAATTAGATTAAAATGTAATGGAGAAATGTTTAACAAAATAAATAAAAATGCAATTAAATATAAATAATGTTAATATGTAGTTTTCTAAGTTAATAGGCTATCAGTAGAGATCCTTATGTATGGTTTAGTTGTCCTAGCTGGCACATGCTGGGGCCTGGAGTCAGGAAGACCTGAATTCAAATCCAGCCTTAGACACTTACTAGTGTGACCCTGGACAAGTCATGTAACCTCTTTCTGCTTCAGTTTCCTCAACTGTAAAATGGGAATAAGAACATCCGCTATGAGATAGGGTTGTTGTGAGGATCAAATGAGATGGCTGTGAAGTACTTATCACAATGCCTGGCCCATAGCAGGAGCTATATAAATGCTTCCTTTCTTCCTTCCCTGGTTTCTATTTGAGTTCTGTACCACTGGTCTAAATCGGTCTATAAGTCGAAAACAGCCAGGTAAAATGGAAAAAAAGACAACCAACAAAACAGTATCATATGAAAATCCTGACCAATTGACTCTAGTTTTCACTTAGATGATTGGCATCACCTATCTTATTGCTGATAAGGAATACAGTGACAAAACATTAATTCCAATGTTCTTTCAGCAAACTCCATGGATATAAAGTGCATGTGTATAAAATGAAGATCATCAGTCAAATCATTTGATGGCAGGAAATACTATGATATTTCTTAAAATAGTGAATTGAAAATGTCACTCAGTTTACAAAATTTCAATTTCTACATGCAACTTTTGTGTCAAAGGTAATGTGCTATAATCCCAAAGCCATGTCAGACATGCAGCCCACAAGACTCCTATGTGCTGCTAGAATCAGATCAAAATGTCATTGGAAAATATTTAGTAAAATAAATAAAAGTACAATGCAACCTAGATAAGATTAATATGTTAATTAATAATTCACAGTTCCATTTCTATTTGAGTTTGACACCATTGATGTAGTGGGTAGAGAGCCATCCTTGGAGTTAGGAAGTCCTGAATTCAAATTCTGCCTCTCACATATATTGGCTATGTGACCCCTGTTTGTCCTTTAATCTTTCAGTGCCCTAGGACAAGTCTAAGAAGAGTTTGCCAAGCAGATACCAATCTGCAGTGGTAGGAGTTCTTCCTGGGGAGCTTTCTACACAGTCCAAATCATAGAACCAGTTGTTCTTTTTTTATTACATTTATGGCTGAAGAGTCAGATACAATTTGGGGAACTTGAAGCTTCTTTGGGGCTTCTTTGTCCCCACCCAGTTGACATGAGATCTCAGGAATCTTACTTGCGTCAGTC